TTAACGTTATCTCCCGCTCTTAGATTTGCTCACTGGCCCTGGGAAGGGACGCAATTGGTTGTGCCTTGCTTGGTGATCGACTGATTGTCGTTGGCGGCTACGATGGCAATCATGCGCTGAAAAGCGTTGAGGAATACGATCCAGTTCGCAACGGTTGGAACGAGCTGACCCCCATGGCATTTGCCCGGGCCGGTGCCTGCGTCGTGGCCATACCCAATGTCATACCGCCGGCGGCACAGCAGCCGCCCCCCAGTGCTACAGTTTAGTTTAAACCTTCCAATTCCACATTTGTTTCTACTGTAGTTGTTGTTCTCGTTTTTGTTGTCGTTCTGAGCTGCTCGTGGCTGTTGGTTGCTGCCGTTCTTGCGGATGTTCATAGCCATAATATTCTTGCAGTATAGAAAGCCCACTAGACATAGCCCTTGCCCATGTGCATTTGTTTGATTCTCTTGAATTAAATTAATCTGGACACAGTAGAACTAGTATTAATCTGCAAGGATACTTGAAGCTTCGGCCCCCGAAGATTTCCATTCCCTCATTAACGGCAAGAACTGCAGCCCGACCCATGCTCCGCTTACGCTCGCGTCGCCTCTCGCCCCACTATGTGTTTTGGCATTGATCCCCTGGCACCCGTTGGCATGACATTCCCGCATATCCACCCTCTCCCAGTTCCTACTTTTTGCATTGAAGCCACAGGCTTGGCTGCTACTTTCCTCGTGATTCTCGAGCATACCAACGAAATCCAAGAAAAATCTCATAAAGTGTAAGATATGCATGCGGCGAGGCTTGATGAATATTAGTTTTTTTTCTATCTATCGTAGTTACATTCGCATCTCATTCATTCCATTTGGTCGTATGCTTACGGTACTCTGCTCCCCTGCTCGCACGGTCTCAAATCGAGGTGACAGACAGACACATCCATCACACACACGCACCACACCGTCTATTCGACTCCATTCCATTCCACCATACCACTCATTACAGTGACCCAGTGTATTAATTGCTAAAGAAGACTGTGCCTAGCCAAAATTCCGAACATTCCAAATCCAATTAACGGCTCATTTGCATGTGAAGTGTACGCAACGCTACCATATTCCTTTTGTGTTTATGCAAAGAAGATAAGTAAGCAAAGATAAGTAAGTTTTAGTTGGTAAGAACAGTACATATGTATGTAATGGCACTTTGAAACCAGTTTTGATTGATTTGAGTTACATTTGCATCTTCATTGGCATCGATTAGCAATGTAATACTACTACTACTACTCCTACTACATATGTATATGTGTCTATAAGCAAGCATTTATTTCTAATTTGTTTATTATGTTTTTATTTCTTTCTTTTCCCATTTCCGAACGTTTTCCTCGTTTCTCGACTGCATTAAACGTGCGCGTGTATTTTGTAGAAAAAGAAGAAGTGGAAGCCAGTGAGATTGGATCCAATCTGCTATAGGCGTCCTAGATCCGTCGAGTTTGTCGACTACTATAATATGTAAAGCAAAGAAAGCTGAAATACTATAAACATTTAAGCAAATCACTGATACGGAAACAGAAAAAGCAAGGAAGAGAATTTCAAATATTACGTATTATTTTATATTTACACACATACTTATACCTATATTTTTACACAAAACATACACTATGCATAAATGTATAAACTGAATATTTATTTTTTTTAATAAATCAATCGTATACCTTATTTAAACGGAAGCTGCTTGTTTGAAAACTCAACCGTTTTTTTCACGCCATGTATGTGACGTATTGAATATCGATAGTCCGTAGCGGACCGTGACCACCTCTGACCGTATCGATAACTAATGCTGGAAACTCTGCGCTCTCTCCCGGCCATATTCCTCTCTGTTTTTTATACTCTCTCTCTCTCTGTCTCTCATTTGTCATAGAATTGAAATTTGCTTAAAATCCAATTAGCGTTAATTGAAAACGCACAAAGCGGAGTAGGTAGCATGGACGCGGAGCATCTGAAACGGCTAGAGGGCAGGGAAGCTGACCACATCCCAGGCATACTGAATGAGTTCAATAAAAAGGTAGGATACCAACAATATGGTGGCCCATGCTCATCCGTTCCATTCATTCCATGGTAAAATCAAACAAACTCCATATGTACTGTGCAGCACGCGGATCTCCTGGTCTTTGACAGCTTCCACTCGGACAACCAGTGGCATGAGCTGTGGCTGGCCATCTTCGGCATCTTGGATGACGCGCAGCTGGGTCACCTGCACACCCAGTGCCTCAACACGGTGAGGATTTTGACCCGCGACGAGTTTAGTCTGCATACCAACTACATCGAGCATGAGGTCAGCCAGCTGCTCAGGCTGGCCCGCGTAGAGGCCAGCGCCCTCAAGCTGCCAGCCACCCCCGACGAGCTCAAGCAGCAGGAGGAGGGCCAGCAGCAAGAGCAGCCCAGCACGGCCCAGTCGGACATTATAGCCGAAGCCCTGAAGTGCTTGTGCAATTTGGTGTACCAGAGTGCGGACTGCCGTCGTCAGTGCCTGCGCCAACACTGCCTGGACGCCATCCTAAAGCGGGTGGCCTCCTCGATGCGTCATCCCTGCGCCCTCGAGTACTACGACATGAAGCTGCTGTTTCTGCTGACAGCTCTGGAGCCAGCGGCACGCACTCGTCTCCAAATCGATCTCAACGGCCTCACCTACATGACCAAATGGCTGGACGACAAGCTGGCCGAGCCCTGCTGCAGCGAGGAGCAGCTCAACATCATCTGCGAGCTGCTCAAGGTGATGTTCAATGTGACCAGTGCCCCGGACAAGAGTCCCAACGAATACGAAATCCAGAGCTTGCATCTGACCGGCGTTCTGCGGGAGCTTCTGCTCCGTTTTGGCAAAATGGCCACCGACAAGGAGCGCTCGGTGGTCACGCATGCCATCAATCTGCTGACCAACATCTCCAGCAGCTGCCTAGTCGAGCTGACCCTCAAGTGCAGCAATGCCGAGGAGCAGCCCAAGGCGTTGGCGGGTGATGGGGCTGGTGCTGGTGCGGGTGCGGCAAAGGCGCCCAAATGCTGTGATCTCTGCTTCGAGAAGCGCAATGTGCGCTGCTTGACCGTGCTCCTTAACTATCTGCGGCAGGCATTGGCCCAGCAGGAGGCCGAGGCCAGCTCCCATGAGCTGCTCTCGCCGGTGCTGACCGTTCTGGTGAAGTGCTCCCGCAGCGATCGCGTGATGCGTCACTATCTGAGGCAGGAGATTCTGCCGCCACTGCGCGATGTCACCCAGCGTCCGGAGATTGGCCAGGAGCTGCGCAATCACCTCTGCCGCTTCCTCACGCTGCCCGCCATGATACTGCGCGACCTCGCCGCTGAGCTGCTGTTTGTCCTCTGCAAAGAGGACGTTGGTCGGATGATCAAGTACACGGGATATGGCAATGCGGCTGGTCTGTTTGCCAAGCGTGGGATCCTCGACTGCCGCCGCGTAGAGGGTGCCGACTACTCCTCGGACAGCGAGGACAGTGACACCGAGGAGTACAAAAAGCAGCAGCAGGGCATTAATCCTGTTCTCGGCTGTGTGGAGCCCAAATCCAGGCACAATCCGCTGGACGACATGACCGACGAGCAGAAGGAGAGGGAAGCGCTGCAGCTGGTCAATCTCATCGAGCAGCTCCGCCAGGGTGGCATCGTTAAGCCCGCTCTCATTGACAAGGATGGGAAGCCTCAGCCTCTAGAGCACATTCTGCAGCTCCAGGAGGAACTGCCGCAGCAGCAGCTGGAGCAGAAGCGCAAAACCTAAGCAGCAGCAGTCTACAAGCGACCCAAAAACAAACTGCACCTGCTGCTTGCTGCCTGCTGTATGCACGGAATGGGTTCCAATGCAGACTCGCAGAGCCACTTGGGACCGACTCCTCCACAGCACCTTCCATCGTTCGCTTGAATCGAAAAAAAAAACCAAAATGCATAACAATCGTTGGGGTCTTCCAGCTAGGGTCCGGGAACGGGGATAGATGGGGGCCTCGAAAAACAAAAAATAGAAAGGCAAATCCACAAATAATAGAAAAACCAAAAACTAAAATCTTTTATATGTATACAAAAATGCAAAAAAATAAGATCCACAAATTGATCTATAGACAAATTTGACTAATCCTTGTACTACTTACTTAAGTGCATGTGTATTTATATAAATCCTAATTCTAATTATACATTTACGATCTAAGTGCATGAAGTTCGTGTGCGAGTTGCAGCCTCAATTTGGCTTTGAATTTACATTGAACACATGAAGGAAGAGCTTATGTTTAATCAGATCTACACGTATTTCGCACCAGCGCTCCAACCTACATCTGTTATACATGTCTCGTGTGTGCTGTACGTAACTATAATGCTAGCAACTAACTAAAGTAATTATTAAGTCTATCTATGATGGACGCGAGTGAGGTAAACTTAAAAGAGGAAATCAGCGAATGGCTCTTGTAAACGAATGATTCCAAGTACATTTTTTGTTAGTCTCAGCAGAGATAAAAGTTGCTGGCCAAAGCATAAACCCTTCTGCATTATGTTTACACACTTTTAAATTTAAATCTTTAAAGCAGACATTACGAAAAGACTCTGGAAAGAGGAGAAACAATATTTTGGGTAGTCTCACAGTCACGTGTCGTAGACGTGGTCTCTTTGTACTCGTTTATGCATTAACCAAATCCTACATGGAGCTTTATTGTGTTCAATTTGCTATAGCGATAGAAGATATCAATAAATACTATACACAATTATGCAGATAGATGCTCGATGGGTTGATAAATCTGCCATTATAACCGCTCTTATAACAAGAATCAAATGTGTTAAATTATTGTCGTCGATCGAACAATTTGCATTTATAAATAGAAAATATATAACTCAAAACAGAAAACCACAACTGGTAATTGAACATTTAGTCGTATTGGCTTCGATACGTGCCACCTCCTGGATGTCGTGTCGCTGTTGCAGTGTCTAGCAGTAGGCACCCGAAAACAGCGCCGAAGTTATGTCCACTTTCAGGTCTGTTTGCTGTTTGCCCGGTGTAGTTCTAGTGTTTTCCAGTTCGTTGAACGATTTGCCATGGCTCTTCCAGTACTTATACGCCAATAAATCTTTCGCATTGTCCACCTGTTATTTTCTTTCCGATTCATCAAAGACATCATCCGAATGGTGCTGTTGCTGCTTCTTGAGCGTGTTGGGCGGGGGCGTTGATTCGTGGAGATCCGTAACCCGGTTTCCTTGATGATTTGTGTAGGGATGGCATTTAAATTGCTTAAAAGGTAGCGGCTTTGGCACCAAGGACTTGCGTAGTTGTCGTGTAAAATAATGCTTAGAGTCTGACGAATGGGAACTAGTCGACGACGAGTCGTCAGAGTCATCCCAGGCGTTGAGCTTGGAAGTGTCCGTGATGAATGTCAGCCCAGTATCGGCCGCATACTTGATAATCTTCTTTTGCATATTCTGCCGCTGGGCCTGGAGCGTGTCCACATTCGCGTGCACTTTGGCATCCAGTTCGACAGACTGCGATGTCATTTGGCGCTGCTTCTGTCGCAGCAATGCCTCCAGCAGGAGGCTCTTCTGAGCTCTGGGCTGTGTCTCGTCCGAGCGCCTTTTTGCATCCAGCAGCTCTTCCTCACGATTCGTCCCTTTCTTCTGTATCTGGTTCTGGTTCTGGTTCTGCACCGGTTCCTTTACGCATTGCGATTCCTTCTGCATGATGGGCTTCAGCGTGGCAATGGCTGGAACAATTTTCGGGTCCGCTTTGGCCTCCGAGCGACTGTTGGCATTCAGCAACTCTTCCTCACGCTTCATCACTCTTTGCTGTATCTGGTTCTGGCTCTGGAATTGGTTCCGCACCGGTTCCTCTACGCGTTGCGGTTCCTTCTGGATTATGGGTTCCTGCGTGGCAATGGCTGGCACCGCTTTGGCCTCCGCTTTGGCTTTCGCTTTGGCCACCGCTTTGGCCAGCGCTTTGGCCACCGCTTTGGCCTCCGCTTTGGTCTCCGCTTTAGCCTCCGCTTTGGTCTCCGCTTTAGCCTCCGCTTTAGCCTCCGCTTTGGCCTCCGCTTTGGCCTGCGCCTTGGCCGCCGCTTTGGCCTCCGCTTTGGCCTTTTGCTTAGAGCTACGCTCCTTGGCCCGAGCCTTTTTTGCCTCCAGAGTTTCAGGGATGATTGTGGGATTCAACTGGTCCACCCAGTCAGTTGGACTTGGACCCAGCTCGATGCCTTGCGTCTTCTTGTTGGCCGCGTTGCGTCCCTCGAGAAAGGCTCGTGCGTGCGCTTCGATTCTTTCCTTTAACTGTGCCTGTGCTGCTATCCGTGGCGTCGTTACGGCCACTGGACGTTCAATCCTATCCTTTAGCTGCGCCTGTGCTGCCATCCGAGGCGTCGTCACCGCCACTGGGCGTTCGCCCCACTCGAGTTTTGGCGTTACACGCGAATGCGTTCGATGGCCCTTGTGCGAGGTTCGCACTCCTTCTGCTTTCGGGATTGGTAGGGTTGGCGGTGAGCGGGGCTGCCGCCTACTTCCACCATGCTGAGGATTGTGCTTCTGGTCCAGCGTCTGTGTCTGCGTCCGAATCTTCTCTTGGGTGCGGGTGTGGGAGTGGGAATGCTTCTGCAGCGGGGGATCCATGAACATGTTTCCTTGAATGATTCGTGGACTGTTCAGCGCGAGTGCATTTGGCTCCAGTTCGCTCTTCTTACGCAGAGTGGTCTCGGAACTGGGGGGAGGGAAATAGTAGGCATGCAGCAAGTGCAAGTGGAAGCGTTTCGGCTGTTGCCTGAGTCGGCACTCACCTGATGCGCACACCGATGGGCAGATCGCGTCTAGCACTGGAATGATTGGAACGGCTGCTGCGATGTGAGGTTGTCAACTCCGTGGATATCATCGAGTACAGACTGTTGCGATAGTCGTTCAACTCAAAGCGGAAATCATCGCGCAGCGGCGGCTTCACATTCAAACGCATTTCCAGCTCTGCCGAGGGGCAACGAAAGGAGCTGACAAATGGATGCTTCAGCGCCTTGTGGGCCGACAATCGATCCTTGGGATCGAGCATCAGCAGGGAAGTGGCAAAGTCAATTTCATTGGAGCTACTGCCCCGAAACATGGCATTCAGCGAGTGCTGGTAATCGCGGCGAATTGTTCTGCTGAGCAGCGATGTCCCGAATCTCGTGCCAATGTGGTCGATATCGCGCTGTGTCACATACGGCACGGCAGACAATATTTTCTCCATCTATTTTGGCAAAGGAAAAAGTTAAAAAGGTGCCTGGAGACACTAATGGTCCAGTCGAACCTGATTGAGGGTGCTGGTGCCTTGAAATATGGCCTGTTTTGTTATCATCTCGCCCAGGACACAGCCCAAGCTCCACATATCCACGGCCTTGGTGTACCTGCAAAAAGTAAACATTAAGCTGCGGTTTTTCTTGTGGAATTCTTTGAGGTTTTGTTGTACTTGCGACAGCCCACGAGTATCTCGGGGGCACGATACCAGCGCGTGGCAACGTAGTCCGACATCACGCCGTCATTCTCGGTTGTCTCCCGGTTGCCATTGGCGTCACTGTCGCCATCGCCTCTGCTGCTGTTGCTGCTGCTGTTGCTGCTGTTGCTGCTGCTGTTGCTGGGCTTTGCCACTATCGTGCGAGCCAATCCAAAGTCCCCAACCTTTAGTCTGGAAAGGAATAGTCTCAGAATTCGATTATTATCCCTCGCCCAGACTCACCTGCACTTGCTGTCAATTAGGATGTTGCTGGGCTTCAGGTCTCTGTGGATGACATTGCCCGAGTGCACATACTTCATGGCATTCACCAGCTGATACATGACAAACTGCCGATGGATATCCTTCAGAATGTCGCCCTTCCTGATGACTATATGCAAGTCGCTCTCCATGTGCTCAAACACCAAATAAAAGTCCATATTGTTGGTGGCCCTGTAGATGCCCAAAAGGCGAATGATATTCGGATGGTGGCGAAAGGCGCGCAGGAAGATAACCTCCCGATAGGTGCGCTGAGCATCGGTTGTGTCTCGAAATGCATCGAAGATCTTCTTCAGCGCCACTGTATCCTTTTTCCGCCTGTCAACCGCTTTCCACACAATGCCATAGGCGCCCTTGCCCAATGCCTGCCACGGGAGGGTGGAGAGTTAGAGGATAAGTCTGTGGAGTTTACGTTTGATCTTACCTTTCGCACATCGAAGATTTCCGTCACGCTTGTATCCAGTTCATAGTTGGATAAAACCTCCGTTTTGGTTGCCATTTGAACTAATGTTCAGGAATGTTGCTGCTGCTGCTGCTGCTGGAAAGCCCAGACCCACAAATTGATTGGTTGGTTGGTTGCTTAATTCTCTAGCAGTTCCATTTGGTCTACTGCTGCTGCTCTCAATTGTTGCTGTGACTTTGAGTAGTTCCCAAGTGGCTGACGGTGTAACTCCGGGCCGGGGGGGAATCTGTCCTAGCCCAAAGGAGGCGGTTCGCGTGTTTGTCATGGATGTCTCTCTCATATGCACACGGCATTTGAGTCAAGTACATCCACATATGTACATACATAAATACATTTTTATATGTATGAAAACGAAACTCTAGAAGATGTAATGAGTTGTCGAAGCTTTAGACACACTTGCAGATCGTTGCCATTAGAGCTACATACGAGTAGAGGAATCAGACATGAATTATATCCCTTGGAATACCCCTTAGCATAGAGTGTCCACATATGTCTCCCTTCCCATATCTGTTTTTTCCAACTTAAATATCAACTAGTATCTAGGATATGTCCCATAATGGTGCCACTTTTCAGGCTACAATTATTCTTAAGGTTTCTTCCAGTAACTGACAAAACTCATGATAGGGTATCCCCTTGGTAGGGCATACCCCACAAAGAAACAAAGAAAGACCAAACAAACAAAAAGAAACGTAAGTGGGCAAAATGGGGAAAACTAATACATCTTCGTGAAACAATTTTGATTGAAACTGAATTATTGTTGGATCGATCAGGGACAGCGAACGCCGGAATTGTCCTAGCAATGACTCCAATGGACAGACGGACAGACGGACGCTCAAGTGCCCTCGAGCATGTCATGCGAGTATTTATGTAGATATTTACAAGTAGTTTAAAGGCAACTCCTTATACAGACTCTTTGGAAAATTAATTTGCAGGCAGGCAGGCAGGCAGGCAGATGGCACGGGACATGCACGAGCAGCAGCAGTAATGTCAAAAAAAGAATGCAATTTGTATAGAATTCTACTCACCGATGTTTTTGTGTCGCTCTTTGATTGCAAAAAATGGCAATAAAAAATAAAATGAAAATGAAAACAAAGCACAATTGGGGGGGATCCTAGAGGGGACTATCTTTGCCCTGAACTCACTCGCTGGCTTTTGCTCCTCAGACAGCGAACGCGGGCAATCGGCTTGATTGACTTTTGGATTCACTTGCGGGCCAAACGCATCTTTCAATTTCTCAGTAGCAGTTGTCTTGGAATATAAAATATAATTCGTTTCTTGATACAGTCGATGCCGCGACTCGCCTGCAGGCTGTGGCTTGCACGTAGGGCTTCAAATTTACCAATAAAAAAACATGTAATTGAATTGACTACAGAAACTGGTGAATATATTTTTGTGTGTCCCGTTCAGTGTGTGAATTCCAAATTGTATTTGCTACAAACGTCAAATGTCTGTCTCAGCTGCCAGCAAACTCCACGCCTACTGCTGCTGTTGTTTTTCATTTCGAACATTTTCAAATGGATACTCGAGCCATGTCCGCCGTATACGATTCTAGCACGACCTCCCTGGATCCAATAGTGCTTTTGGTGCTTTTACTTTCCCTTCGTTTCCATTGGTTGCCCGCCCAGCCCAAGGCGGTTGTCCCGCAGGAGCTGGATATAATCATTTACCCTGCAGCTTACTCAACATATGCACAATGGAATGGTATTAGTTTTGCTTGGTAATTAACAATTTCGGGTAAGATTAATCAACTTATAATTTATTTCACGATTGATGAATTCACTCATTGATGCCCACGATCTAACAAAATTGTAGTCTAAAAATGTATAATACAATTACAAAATATATAAAAGAGCCGAGTGAATGATATTGTTAAGTGTGCCAACCCATGGTTGTTATGGTACTACACATGGTTGTTGCTATCAATAAATGCATATTTTAATGCTTAGTTTTCAATAACAAACATGGGCGGGCCCTTGTCCGGACGCATAGCAACCTCTGCGCGGTTTATGCTACTTCCACTCCAAAAAAAAAAAGAAGAAAATAATCTCTATCCAGAGCCAAAAGCCGGCGGCAAGTGTCAAATGTGTATGTTGCCCAGGGTGATGGTGAAGAAAAAGTGAATTGAAGTTGCTAAATGGGAATCTCTAGCATCTACCATGCTGGTAGATGGTTGCAGCCTTTGCTCTTTGATCCGTTTGTAATTGTTGCTGCTGTTGCTGTTGCTGTCGCTGCTGTTGTTGCAGTGGTTGTCGCTGAGGATTTTGGGATTGAGCTGGCAGCTGCTTTGGCTGTGTCTGTGTCTGTGCCTGGTGCTCTTGGTGCTTGTGGTGCTTCTCCTTCTGATGATGCTGCTGCTGACGACGCTGCTGCTGCTTCTCGAACTCGGCCAGCTGCTCGTTCTGCTTGCGGACCAGCTCGTCAATTACCTCATGGTTGTACGTGGAGTGTAGCATGAGGCCAAGCAGATTGGCACGAGAGCTGAGCTGCTGCCGATAGCCGCGCTCATGCTCCATTAGATCATCCATTTTCAGCCACTGACGGACGCGCTCCAGATCGATCTCGGCCCGCCGGATCTTTTCCCAGGCATAGTGCTTGAAGCAGCTCTTCTTCGGTGCACGACAGAACTGTCCGGTGGGATCGAAGACATTGACGACGAGGGGAGCGCCGCAGACATCGGTATCGTTCACTTTCGGGTCCTTGCTGTGCTCGGGGCACAGAACGCGCAGTCGCTTGCAGTAGGTCTTGCTGGCCGGATTATAAAAGTCGCAGAACATGTTGTTGCCCTCCATACGGGTCTGGAAAATGCTGCCGAAGCTGGCCTGAGATTCGTATTTGTTAAAGCACTTCTCCATGTGTTTGATGGCGGTGCGCGAGTGGATTTCATGGCCGCAGGTGATGCAATACATGCTTTGCTCATCCTCAACATCCCCATTGTCGTTTGCGGTCTGTTTTTCAATGACACTGTGCTTGGCCCGCTCCACCACCATGTTGAGTTCGTCGGAGCGCTTCTCGAGCTCGGCGAGAGCGAAGCGAACCATCGATTGCTTATCCCGGATGGTCTCAAGCTGAGTGCGATTATCCTCTGCTGCACGGCAGGGCGTTAGGTTCCATTCCTGCAGACGCTGTGGCAATACCTGCCAATGAAAATAATGGATGAAAGTTGATTGAGTGTCAGGCCAGGCAGGAGTGATGATGGGGATGAGTACCTGGAATATGCGGCTGGTCGCCAGATTAAAGCCGCACTTGTCGCTGCAGTACTTGCTTTGGGGACGCGCCTGGCAGCAGCAGCCAGGGCCGTGGCACTGACGCGTTCCCTCTAGCTCGGGATTGAGGAACACTTCGGGACTGGCCACACGATTCCCGACCTTTGTCTTGCGAGCCTTGGCCGAGGCCTTTTCGCGTTTCCTTGAGGGCCCCGATGCCTGCGGCTCGGACACGGCAGCCGCCTGAGCGACACATGTGCGATAGATGCAGCGTGGCTTGTGGCCCACCCGAATTCGGCAGGCATTACATTGATTGCAATTGGGGCGACGACATCCTTCGCAGGTGCCGCAACGCTTTCCTGCCTTGGGCTCTTTGGCATTGCTGTGCTTTCGCTTGGGGTGGGATGCGACCGGTGGAGCGGCAGGCAATGCGGGCGGACCTGATCCGTGTGTGTGGGAGCCGCTGGTGGAGGCCGCATTGGAGGCGGCTGCGCGCTCGGTGGCCACCAGTCGGAATATTGTCTGCAGTTCTGGGTTATCCTGCTTGCAGCGACAGCAGAAGTATTGCTTGATGTGTTTGGCCTCCTTCTCCGTGATGCCAATGCAGTCGCCGTGGTACCATTCCTCGCAGCCATCGCAGCCGCTGCAGATTGGAAAAAGATTATCAAATTGCCAACTCTTTCTTCGGTATTGCATGCAAATGTCTTTCAACATACATCATGAACCGGGAGCAGTCGGAGGTGCGACATATGCAGTACGCCTGGTCCTCCTGCTTCAGTATTGTGGCTATCTTGGATTTGCGTTCGGGCAAGTCGAACTCACGGGCAATTTCTCTGCGGATTTCCTCCCGCTGCAGGTGCGGAATGGTTGGTTATTTACTGTTTATTCATTTTATTTACTTTTCTTACGCTTTTCTTGTATTTCTTATCCTTTTTTTCCGACATGCCTGAAAAATTAACAACTTTCCAACTCTGATGTCACAACACCAGGGCTGCAAAACAAATCATCGATGACACCATCAATGGTATCGATAGCTTTGGAATAGTGCGATGCATCGTTTAGTTTTGCCGCACTTTTATTATTTTGGTTGGCGTGCATTTGATATTGAAGGTAAATGGCAGGATTAAGCAATTTGAAACAATGCCCGCCGTTTTCCGCCCTGTCGGATCCGTCGTTCCGTCCCAATTATACTACTGAACTAAGCAGCTACCCCAAGATACATCTGAAGAGCGAGCTACACAATTCATCGGCGCAGTGTTTCTACGGCGGTCAGGGTTTTGTGCCGGTAAACGAAGGTGTGCTGAAACGCATCATACGCACCTTCTTTGAAGGTGGCTTCTGGGAGTCGCTGGCCGAGACACGCAGTCAAACGACCCGCGAACAGGCTCCATGGCTAGGCCGAACCGGTGACTACATATCCCAGCTGCTGGGCATCGCCACATCACTCAAGCTAAAAGTGTTTCCGCACGCACAAGATGTGAGTGCAGATCGGATTGCCGAGTTTGTGGAGACCAGGGACTGGAGCGACAGCGATGTGCGCTTCATGGCATGGAACTGTCACATCTTCAAGCTGGCCGTAGCTGGCATTGACGATGTGGTCCGCATCTACACCAAGAACACAAATGCAGCGACCACCGTCCTAAAGGTGAGTGCTAGTCGCTTCACATGCGAAACTGTCAACCCTAAACCTTTAATCTTATCCACTGTAGAGCGCAACTCAGACACAAATAACCTGCATGGCCTGGCGTCCACTGAGTGCCACCGAAATTGTGATCGGCTGCTCTCAGGGTCTCTGCTTCTGGGTAGTGGACAACACAATGATTTTGGGACGTACCAATGCGCCCAGTCAGATCTTTAAGCAGTAAGTGCATCAATCAATCAGCATTAATTCTGATTAATTAATTTCATTTGCAGTCCTGCCAAACTACCCATCACCTCTCTGCAGTGGAACAAGGAGGGAAATCTATTGGCGACCGCTTCCATTGGTGATCGCTCGATCATCATCTGGCAGCCAGACAGTGGACGAATGGAGGCGCTCAAGCGACTGGGCCCACCTGGGTCCCTGCTCAAGTGGTCGCCGGGCAACGATTGGCTCTTTGCTGGCACCGTTGATCGAGTATTTCGTGTGTGGAATTGCCACAACCATTGGTCCACAGAGCGCTGGACGGTGGGCAACGTGGGACATGTCCAATCTGCCTGCTGGTCGCCCTGCGGACGCTTTCTGCTCTTTGTCAGCACAACGGAGCCGATCCTCTATCGTCTGCAGTTTGTTCGGCAAACTATGCTGAAATGTAAGTTAATGAAAATGCAATTAAATTAAGGGCAGCCTGGTCCAAAGGTTTGTCTCAGAGTCATGGACAGATTGTGACCAACAGCGGCTGCCCAAGAGTAAATAAGTTAGCAACAGGTTGGCGGCTGCTTAAGCTTCCAGACCGCCTGTATACTGCTGCCAACAATGCTGCAAAATCAGTTAAAAAAATTATATCTAAATCAACTTACAATAAATCTCTTTCCCCCTCTAGCGGCCAAGGACGAGAAGGAGGTGCTGCCCATAGCGGATCTAAATGCTTGCAGCATAGACGAGAATAAATCGCTAATCGGTGGCCCAGTGCAGCAGTTGGCCTGGGATCCGCGTGGCAACTATTTGGTTATCACCTTCAAGTCCACCAATCACATTTCCATCTTTCGCACCTTCATCACAAAATACGATCTGCAAATTTCGGCTTCCTTTTACCTCAGTGGCGAGACTGCGTCTGAGTATCCCAGTTTCGTTTGCTTCCAGCCGCTGTACAAGGATGACGATCAAACTGTGCTAACCATTGCGTGGTCCTCTGGACGCATTCAATACTATGCTTTTGATTGATTGTAAACAATGCGCGGGCATTGGGATGGTTTGGTGTGTACTCTTAAGTTTTGCATTTGTTTGTTAGTGAATAAAGTCTAAAAAGGTAAAACAAGTGGGAATGCAATGAATGGTTGGGCAATGCATGTGTACATAACTCTGTCTGTCTTCAATCTGTGTTCTATCCCACACCGCTTGGAAACTTTTAACAAAGATGTTGCTCAAATCTCTAGTCAGCTATGACGCACAACGTTCCCTGCTTAGCTGCCCAAGGTAGACGCATCGGTCGAGTGATCTTGGTAGTTGCTTCTTTAACATGAACATTGATTATATACACACCATCGTATATAGCATATATTTTGGGTTTATATATTTATGTAATATATAGCAATTATATAACGTGATTTTTCGATTGAACAACATAACATGTACAGATAATTATAAAACATAATGGGTTGCAAGTCGGAAACAACATAAACAATTAATGAGGCTACGCCGGGAATTTGTGGCGCAGTCGGGATCACACTTGAGAAATACTAATTCATAATATAAACATACAGTGGATACACATATAAATATCAATTTTATATCCACATGCGCGAGTGGCACAATAAATAAACAATTTTGGTCCCTCTAGATGTCGCCGAAGAAGTAGGCCAGGGCAGTGGCCGCCCGTATGCGCACAGCCGCCTGCTCGTCCTTGAGCAGCACAGACATCTTGCTGGCCACCGCCTCCGTTTGGGCATTGCGTTCGCTCAGAAAATTGTGAAGTATGCCTGCAAGAGAATGTTGTTACTGGGGTCATAAGAGTCTGCGGTCTGCGGTCTGCCTCCACTTACCAATCACAATGGCAGCGCTTCCTCGCACCTCTGGCCACTGACTGCGCAGCTTGGGCATGCACGAGTCGATGAAGTCTTGAATGTGTTCAGTCAGCTCCAAAGCCTGCACAAGACAAGAGACTGAGAAAAAGAAAGAGCAAAGAAAGTGCACTCCACTCACAATCAATTTAACAAAGTCCACGACAAAGCTGCTGTAGCTGAGCTGATGGCCATTTTCCTCGCCCAATTGCTGGTGGGCCATCTCCATGACCTGGGGGGCGTTCAGGAGGCGACAGACACGCTGTAGGGTGCCACGACAGGCACTGACTATGGCCGCTTCGCTCTCGCTGAGATGCAGCAGCAGTGGAAACAGATTGGCGATTAGCTGCTCCCGCAGCGCCTCCATGGATGAGCTGCTGGGCGAGACGCTGCCATCGTCGCGCTTGCCCTCGCACAGATCGCCGAACAGAATAATCGCCGCCTCGCGCATCTCCAGTGAGTAGTTGCCAAAGAACGGACGGATGCGTATGGCCAGAGAGACATGAAAGGACTCCACACGGCTGTTGGGCAGCGCCTTCAGGATGCTCGACAGGCCGCGCATGCTCTCCAGCGGTATGTTGATCAGACAATCGCCCACGGGATCATCCACGCCCTTTAGCAGTGCAGCAATGGCAGCCTCCTCGTACCTCGGTGCCTCGTGCTCCCCCAACTGGCCCACAAAGCCCATTCCCTGAATGCTCAAACCGCGCACCACCGCATTCGGATCGCTCAAAGCTGCACCCAGATGCATCATGACACAACCGGCCAGCTCACCGCCCGGCTTCAGTGGCACCAGGCGCGAAAACAGCCCAACAGCAGCCACACGCTGCCCATCGTGGGGCGAGGCCACGTATTTGCTCAACGAATTCACCAGCTGTCGCATCTGTGGACTGCCCAGCTGCAGCTGATGGCCCAAGCCTACTGCCATGGGTGTCAGCAGCTCGATGTAGCTATGCCAGTCCGCGCTGCTCGCCAGATTGTTCACGGTCAGCACATTGGCGATCTGTTCCATTTCCAGATTGGTGAGAAAAGCCTAAGGCCAAAGGAAAGTTCTGCAATCAAATTACCACAAAATAGAGTCTCCAGACACGTACCTGGAACGTTTCCAGGGCTATCTGGCAGGGATTCAGCTTGATGAGCTCCTTGTTGGGCACAAAGCCGAACTTTGACTTGCTCGTCTGCGCCTGGCCGGGGCTGCTGGTGTTGGCCGGCGGCTGATTCGGTGCTGCCACGTTGGTGTAGCTGCTCAGCGAGGTCAGCAGCATGCTGAATATATCTGCGAACCGCAGCTCCAGTTGCTGCAAGGGAAATAAAGGCAAGGATGAAATAAAGGCTGACTGGTCTGACTATGCCGCCACTCACCCCTTTGATGTCCTTGCATGGCAGCATTTCGTGCAGGGCACAAAAGATGGCAAATGGCTGAACGCTGGCCAAACGCTGTCGCTCCAGCGTTGATTCCTGCGTTCCCTCCTGCAGACTAGCGCCGCTGAGCAGCTGCAGGAAATTGTCCAGCATGAGGCCGGTGAGTTCGGCATCGCTGCAGACCAGATGCCAGTACTCCACCATGTGGGCGTCGTAGGGCAGCGCCTGGCTGAGCATCTCCGCGCAGACCAGCTTGGGATGATGCTTTGTGAGGGCCACCAGAGCCTTGAGCACGCCAGACTTGGCACGCGGCACCTCGCACAGTTGCAGGGCCACCAGGCTGTCCTTGACGAGATCGGGAATGGCGTGAAAGAGCTCGGAGCCCTTCTGCTGGATGAAAAACTTCAACACAACGCTAGCCCCGATGGTGGAGCTCTGCTCTGGGTCCCTCAGTGACAGCAGCAGGGTCTTGCTATGGGCTAGAGCGTGAGCAAAAAGCAACGACTGGGATTTTGATTGGACTCACCAGAACTGCAGATACTGGAAGCTGGAGATGCGCTGGGCTATGACCTTGGCTATGTCGCCGGCCAGGTCGTAGATCTGCTTTGGCTCGTCCGTGATGATGTGCTCCTTGATGGACTCGATCTCCTTCAGCCAGTCGGCGCTGCTGTCGATGCTGGCTATGGTCAGCGTCTCGTAGATGCAGGCGATCTCCAGCGTCTTCTGCAGTATCTCCACCGACACCTGCCGCACCGTCCCATTCGAGTCGATGCAGCGGGGCACAATCTTGCCCAGCATCTGGCCCGTCTGATTGAACTTCGAGGGCGCCTCGCAGCCGATCCGCATGGACTTGATGTAGACGTCGAGTGTGTTGTTGAAGACGTGACTGGCACAGATGCGCACCTCCGAGTTTCTGTCGCGTGTCCAGCTCTCGAGGATGCCAATGATGAGATCCAGCGTGGCCGGCGAGGCATCCAGCTCGACGATGGCACGCACTAGAGAATTCAGCTGCGGCAGCGATTCGTTGAGATGCTTCGCAAGGAAACTGTTGCGCTCGTCCTCCTCCTGCGAGTCGAACTTCATCTTGAGCTGCTGGGCGCAGCTGAAGAAGTTCTTGCAGGCAATCTCAAATATGACGCCACCGTCCACACACTCCTCGGTGTCGGGGCCGCCTATGCGTATGAAGTCCGTGCCCAGCTTGAGGATGGTGGGCAGCAGGGGCAGGTCGTGGAAGGGTGCCTCGATCGGTATGCTGAAGACCGTCTCCATGATCTGCTTGCGATACTTTAGCGGTGCCGGCAGCTGCTCCTTGGTGACGATCAACTGATTGCAGATGCTGAGCAGCGTCTGGAGGATGGCCGACATGATGGTCTGATCCTTGTGCACGGCCAGCTGCTGCATGAGAAAGCTGAGCATGGTGTCGTCGTCGAGATGCTGCAGCGACTGCAGCGGATCGGCCTCGTCCATGATGCGGCCGAAAGCCTTCACAACCAGCAGGTTGCTCTTGTAGTTCTCCAGCTCCTTGTGCGTGTCCTTGATGAAGTGCAGATTGCTGAAGAAGCCCGTGGAATGCTTGCGGCCACCCACCTGGGCCAGCTCCGACAGCTTCTTGATCAAATGTCCCAAATGCTGGCGCGATATATAGCCCAGAGCGCGCGCACAAGGCTCTATTCTGCGCTCATAGTCGGCATGCTTCACGTGCTTGTCGAGACGCTCCTGCCTGGCGGTGGTCACAATCAGATCGATCTTCGTGTGGATGCACGCCACGTCCGTCACTTGCAGCAGGGTAAGGGCCACCGCCTGCAGCAGCATGCCCCGCTCGGCACTCACGTCCGGCAGCTGCCACTCGGAGTGCGGCAGCGTCATGGGATAGAGATACATCTGATCCGCGAGCTTGTTGGCCAGCCGATGGGCAAACTGCTCATCGAGTCCGGTCAGGAACTCGTTCGTCTCCAGCACAAAGTCGTGCAGCTGCTGCCGGTACGCGCTCTCCTTGTTGATGTGCAGCAGCAGGTCCGGTATGCGGCGCTCCCACAGCTTGTCCAGCGCTGGGTTCAGCTGCGGATGATAGTAGCGCAGAAAGCTAAGAATATTCGAGCAGCGCTTGATGCACTGCTGGTTTCCCAGCAGCGCCAGACACCGGGCATATATTGACTCTGCGCCCGGCACCATCACTTTCCCTCGCTTCACCACCGATCGATCGTCGCCAGCGGCTGCTGTCGCTCCCGAAGTGGAAGTGGGAGCCGGAGCTCCTTCTGTTGCAGCTGCTTCAGCGGCAGGTGGCAGCTCATCGGCGGCAATGTCGTACTCGATGTGTGGCGACTTGGCAAAGAGGCTGGCCAGACACTTGGCCAAATTGCCGCAGATGTCGGTGTAGTCCAGCAGGACGAGATAGTTGAGCAGCTCGCGCTTCAGTAGCTCGTCGAGGGTGCCCACCGTGGAGGCCAGCATAAAGAGTGTGTTCTCGCAGCTGAGCGCCAGATTGGCATGCTCCTCGGCTGTGCCGTGCTCCTGGTTGAGCTTGCCGTAGCGGCAGCTGTGACGCACCACGAACCACACGAACTCCTTGTCCCGGATGTGCGACTTTTGGGCTAACGCGACGATCGTCTTGAGGAGCGTGAGTTTCATCTTGACGCTGCGTTCGCTGAGAATGAGCTGCTTGAGGCACTCGATGGTGGCCGGCAGGCGGCTCTCAATGTGCCCGGCGCAGGTGTTCAGGAAGTGGGTGAGAATGAGCAGCGACTTGATCCGCTCACGCTCGCTGTTGTTCCGCAGATGGATAAGCAGCGTGTCCATGATCTTGGCCCCGTATGCGGGATGGCCAGCCAGCAGATGGAAGCAGCGCAGCACCTCGTAATGTCCCTTCACCGTCTGCGGCTTCTCGTAGTCGGGATAGACACACACCAAGTCAAACAGATGCGAGACGAGTGGATCTACAACCCCGTCCAGCACCTGGGCGTGCAGCGAGAGGTTCGTCTTGAGCACCGAGCACAGGAACTGTGTCACCGCATTGCGGTCCACGCTGCGCCTGTACAGGGCCAAGATCTGGGGCACCAAACGTGCAGCCTGGTCCTGAATGCGATCCCGTGGCAGCAGCGGATACATGCTGGACAGCGCCTGGAGGATCTCAACGCACACTTTGGGCTCCCGCGAATGGAGCCACTGATTGAAGAGGACATCGTAGGCGACACTTATCTCTGTGGAGCAGCTGATGGCCATCTGTTGGTCATCCCCGGCCTTGGTCTGCTGCTCCTCCTCCAGCACCGCCTCGCTGAAGCGACCAATGGCATAGGCATGCGCCTGCTTTATGTGATCCTGCCTGATCCCACCCAGATGCGGCAGACAGCGCGACAGAATCGTCTTGATGTGTGGCACCACGCCGGCCGGATTCTCTGTGGCCAACAGGCCCAGGCACTGCATCAGCATAAAGTGCGGCACACCCTCAGGACCGCCGGTCTGGGCCTGCAAGGCCTCCATTACGAGGGAGCAGCCCTCGTGTCCGCTCCTGCCAATGGCCACCAGAATGCGCTGGGCGGGATTCTGAATGAGCGGCACATGATCCGCACTCCGTGTCAGCTCCTGCAGGGCCAAAGCAATCAGTTTCTGGCTTGCCGCATTCGGCAGTGGGATATCCATCACCACCACGTTTCGTACACAGCTGCAGCAAGGGGGGGAGGAGATACAAAATGGGATTGGATTATTGGAGGGATCTGCAGGCGCAAGACATGATTACTCTACTCACTCCAAGAGCATTGCAACTGTGTGCTCGTTCATCTTTGGATAAGCTGCGCGATACTCGCTGAGGATGTCGGTGGCACGCTCCGGATGCGTTTCCAAAATCTTGACTATCGCCTGCTGCATGGCGCCACGCACCTGCTCGTCTTTGTCCGTCAGACCATCGAATATATTGTGAAGCACACCTGCGAGACAGAAAGAGAAAGAACATGTTTAGATACAACGAAACATAGAAAAAGGGCAACGGGGAATTCTATTTGCTTCAAAGTCGTGTGTTCCACACACACAAACACACATGCACATACACATGTACACACATGCACTCGCTCGAGTGAATCACAGCAGCAGCAGCGGAATACGAATACATTTTGTGGGTGTAATTGTGAAATAATTTTGTTGTTGTTGGCTCCAAAGGTTATGGAGATGCTTCTCTATGGCTTCCACTGGTCCAATTTCATCAGAGCATGGCGGGGGGGGTGTGACAGGCAGTCAACAGGTCTGTTCGGCACACACACGCACGCAGCTAAGATAACACAGTTATTTTCTCCCCCACCCCCCGCAGCACTGCCCTAAAAATAAACACCAAAAGTAGTCCACCTGTGCCTGTGCGTGTGTCCTGAGCTGTCCTGGCGCCCGAGATACTGCGTAGTTGTATTTATAGCCCTGGACAAAGGGGTAGGGTAGGGTACACCCCTCCATCAACCAAATCAACATTAATCCAAGGCACAGTGGAGAGAGCAATAGCAATAGGAAAAAAACGCCCAGTGCGCCTCACAACACTTTGTTTATTGCGAATTACCTTCTAGAATCGTTGGCTTATCAACTGGGGGCGACAATGCAGCCGTTGCACCAGCAGCAGCGCCCGCACTGCCAGCAGGCGACTTGTTGGCTCCCTCTCCGCCTGGTGCAGCTGGGCCGCCACCAGGACTGCGGTGGCGCGGGTCCATCTTCTTAGTGGAATTACGTGTTCTCTTCCACTTCTCCAGCTTGCCGAGATTCAACGCGATTTCGTATAACGTGAAACGTAAAATTGTTTATGCTTTATCCTGAGTGCAGTGTGACCGTGACCGCGAAATTATCGATGAAATATACCGTCAGGGCCTCGTAGATATACCGAAATATACCATTGCATCTTCAAAATATACCGTAGTCTTAAATCATATTCCTCGATTTTGATATTCAATTTGATATTACCAGCTTGCAAAGACTTTCACCACTGAAACAATAATTTATTCCGATTTAAGAATCAATGTTGCCTATTATAAATACTTTTTTATATTGGATTGTATACCTTATGACCTTGTATTTTACAAATTTGTATTTCAATTTTTCATTCAAATCACCCCTTCTGGAAGCAAGGGAGCTTCTTCTTTAGTATGTAAATGTATGTAACATGTAGAGACACATGTATGTTACTGATGTCATTGAAAATGTTTGAAAAAAAGCGCGCGAAACAAAAAATATATAAATTGTATTATTTTTCTGAAAGGGAGAGTGGTTTAAAGTGGTTTGATGGGCAGTTCTTCTATCTTCACAACATAATTGGGGCTAAACTATAAACCGCCCTATAATGGAGTATTTTTCTTGTGTGTCCTCCATACAAGGAGCAACAAATTCTCCGATTACCCATACCCATATGCAGTATAATGACGCCCAGCATTAACCTTTCCAGGTGTTATGCAATAATTATAATTATTTAATTTACCCTCACCATAGTTTAGCACATTTGTAAATTTTATCCTTCCTTCCTCTCCTGTACTTATGCATATTTAATTCATATTTATTCTTATTCCATATTCCTTATTTAGCACTTCATTTGTAATTGAAAATAAATAAATAAATACTATAAACCATATATTGTCTATACTATATAAATATGTATTATATAATATATATATTAAATAATATTCATATATTTTATTATCTTTAGTTGTTCTCATTGGTTGTTCAAACTCCCTTCGCAAAGGAAGAGAGCTTTTAAAGCTCCCTTAACAAACCAAGGGAGCTTTCTTGGTAAAAAAAAACCAAGGTGTCGACAAAAGGTAAATACGTCTCAAAAATTACAGTGGCGCCAGGTAAATAACACCCCGATTTTCATCCTACGTGGTGGGAATTCTCCAGGAACTTCACCCGTTTTCCTCGACTTTGATCATCTATTTATTATAACTAGCTAGTTAGAAGTCTCAGCGCTAAAACTATAATTTTATCCGATGTATCAATAAATTCTCCAAAAGATTGTCTGGTTTTCACGACTTACTTTTTTTTTGAAAATTTTCCATAGTCTAAAACTAAAAAGGTCAACCAACATAAATGTTTTCGAATTTTTTTCGACAACTGAGTTCGATTTTGTTGAGTGGTGTAACGCAGCCATGAGAATGGTCAAATTGGCAGCACTCGCATTCGGGCGGCAAATTCAAAACTGCAGTTTAAATGTTTTAGCATTTAAAGTTTAATCGATTATATGTACCGTGTCTGTGGTTTCAGATTCAGTTTCAGATTTGCAACATTCTTGTTGATGGTTTTTGTGTATACATACAAATTCGATGAGCAAAAATTGACAAGGATTTGTTCTTGTTGTTGTTGTTCTTGTTGTTTGTGTGGCAGTAAACAGTTTTCTGTAAATGTTTTTGGTGTTTTTTTTTGGGGTTTTTTTGTTACTACTACTATAAATAACTATGTATAATGAAACAATTGTTTTGTTTAAGTTGATTTGCTGTATATGCTTGTCTCAGTTTTAATACAATAATTACATATTAAGTTTTTGCACTATACGCTAAACTGGAAGGAATGATTGCGTTTTAATTGTTGGACATTAACTTAACAAATACACATGTACGTGCGTGTGTGTGTGTGTGTGTGTCTAGATGTTTGAAACATAAGATGTGTGTGTGTGGATGGGTAGACAACAATATAAATAGATATTAAAATAGTTAACCAATAGATACGAGTAGGAGTAGCAGTAGGTGTGGGGGTACATGGAGAGGGGACAGTTGGATGATCATTTGAAGATCAACAAAAAAAATCGTTCTTTGCGCACTTAGGTTCTAGGTTTTGTTGTTGTTTAAACATAATTTTGGTAGTTTGTTGACTTATACTAGTTGCTCGTTTTGGTTGTGCCTAACATTAGTAAATACAATTACACACCCAGCCCCGAGTGGGCCCGCTTAGAGGCTACGCTACTTAATGCTTAATGATGTGGTTAGAAGGATGCGCATCCAAAGGAATGCCACCACAGAGAGGGTAAAAAAACAAAAACAAAACAAAACAAAAAAGTGGGACGAGGGCGAGGAAGAGAAACCAATAATCGGTCGAAAGGGAGCGAGTGTGGGTATGCCCCAGTGGAAAATTAAAGCTTTGTATGTTTGACCGTGTCCGTCCAGTAGTTTTGTATTGTCATCGCCTCCAGCGAGTTGAGAAACGAGTCATTGTCCAGGCTATACATCTCGTCGGAGTTGTCCTGCAATTGAGAGAGAGAGAGGGGGAGCATGAAATTTGCACACAAATTGGAATGACAGGTTATTGGTCAACGAATCCTTACACTCACCCGCATGGTGCTATCATCGATATAGACACTGGAATCGGGCTCGCTCAGCGCCTGCGGCTTGTTCAGAAACCGCCGGCGGTAGAGCACAATGCCAATGGTGCCCACAGTGCAGCAGATGCCAAAGACCGTAAAACAAATGGCCGAAATGGCGCCTGCATCCAGGAAATATGTGCGCTAGGGATAAGGGATAAGTTTTAGAAATGATCTGCAAAAGGCTATGCCCATCTGCTCACCTGTATGGCCAGCGCCTCGGATGAAATGTTACCCTCATCGTTGGCCCCGTCATAGCCATCGGCTACACTGGGCGCTGCGGAGGCCGAGCGCGTCAGCAAACTCTTTGTGTCGCTGGAGAAGTTAATGTACCGATTGATGTGCTTATATTCAGCGGAAAGCACCTTCGACTTGCGCGAGCGATGCTCGCTCTCGGCGCGACGCAGCTCCTCCTCTTTGTTGGCATTCTCCAGCGTGAAGGGCGCCTTCTCGCCATGCTCCAGCAGCTCATCGGACAGCCATTCCGTGTTGATTTTCGGTGTTGAGGGTGTGGCCGATGATGTCAATGGTGTTGTGACTGTGACTGTGGCAGCGGCAGCTGCAGCTGCAGCAACTGCCATTACCACACCAGTTGTGGATGCCTCTGTGGCTGTTGTGGCCGCTGTTGTGCCTGCGGAGGATGTGTCTAATGTGGAGGATGTGCTGGCTGCTGTCGTTGTGGTTGTGGCTGGACTACTGCTGCTGCTGTTCAAAGCAGGCTTCAAAGTGCTGCTGCTGTTGTTGGTGCCGCTGCTGGCGTTTGTACTGCCAAAGAAAAGATTAGCAGCAGCCAGAAGCCGATTATCCTTGACTCGCTTACCTTGTGCTACTACTAAAATTCGTAAAATTGTTTAGCTGCTCGGAGGTAAAATCCGCTGAGCGTTTGAACTCGTACTGAGCCACAGTCTGCTCCACTTCAACAGCATCTGTCCCTGCCTCCTGTTGCTCCTCCTCCTGCTCTGCCTCTCCATCATTTAGCAGCAGATCTTCATGCTGCTCCTCCTCCTCCTCATCCTGATCCTCATTCTCACTCTCATTCTCATCTTCCGCCGCATACACAGGCGTCACAGCAGCCGCTGCTGTTGTTGTTGGCTTGTTGGTCAGGTCCATGATGTTGCTCTGTGTGGCCGTTGACCATGTCTGGCTGACTGTCGTCTGGTAGAGTTTCGTGGTCTGCCGCACCACTGGCAATGTCGCCTCCTGCTGGCTTCTGGGATATGTGTGGACATGGCTGGACAGCAATTGAACTGCAAGCGGATTAAAGCATATTTGTATCCATAGTTGAAGCGTAATTTCATTTATGTGTGGAACTTACCGCTGAGGCAGGTTATCCAGAACCAATGTGACCACCAATAGAAAGTCATGATGCGATCCGTTCTGTGATCTTGCGACGACTGTTGATCGTCCCAGGAAATGCAAAGAGAGTTAAACAGAGAGAGAGAATGAGTCATGGGATGGGACATGGGTTAACAATGTGTGGCCGAGTGTACTACACGAATTCCCCATAAAATGTGCCCCACTATCCGATGAAGTCATCGAAATTGCTTTTCTTTTTTCGGTTTATTTGGTTTACATTCTGAGAAAAACGAGTTTGAATCGGTATCGGAGGAGCAGGGGACACGCAGAAGGAATTGCCGTTGTCGTTTCCATTTTAGGGGTTCGCAGCTGGGAGAACCCCTGCATCCCAAGCCGCACACAGCCGAAGGTCGACGACTTCCTTCCAGCTGGTGGCATCTTCGTTTGGATTATAATTTCCATACCATTTTTGGGGGCGATCTTGCGGCCCACACATTTCGGACCATGCTAAAAAGATTGTAACTGGCTTAAATGGCCATCTCCCACTCCAGTGCCTCCATACGCTCTTCCTCTGGCACCGCTCAGATGCCATCCGCTTTTGCCATCCTCTCTCTCTGGGGCTTAATTGTTATGCCGCCTTTGTTCTGGCCAACAAAAGCAGTACGCAAAAAAAATAAAGTGTAAGCGACTGAGGGATACCCCGCAAGCAGCAGAAGGCATGGAATGGAAAGAATGATTTGAATTAGCACTTAAAAGTCTCTAAAACATGAAGAAATGTCTCTCCGAATTATTTACAGAATTATCTCATTAAATTCCCTTAGCCATAAATTCCCATTGATTTGCATTTAAATTAAATTTAAATTGAAATCTTTTACATTTTCGTCTAATTTGTTATTTAATTGCAACGAAAGAGACAGTAAGCAATCTTCCACTTTAAAATTGAATTTCAATGGCAAAACTATGCACAATCTTTGGCAATCGCTCAGCGTATATACCCAGCCCATTGTGTGTGAAGATTTTGTGGGGTAGTCAAGAAATTAGCATTCCAATTTGGGTGTCGGGGCGGGCGGCTGTGAAAATACAATTTACTTGTAGTTTGTCGGTTTGCCACCAGACTTTTGGCGATTCCGTAAAGCCACAAAAACAAAAACAACAAACAACAAACAGACAAAGAGCTTCCAAGCCCGTCCTAATTTGTTTGTGCTAAAAACAAAAACAACAACGCTAAGAAAAAAACCAAAAAGATAATGAGAATTTTCGGTTAAACGTTTTATCTCATTTTTTTCCCATTTATTTGGGTTAATGGCGGGGTGGAGTGGAGTCTTGTTCGATTACAACAGCTGATAAGATGGTAAGGCAGGGCACCAGAGCTCAGATCCCAGAGCAGGTGCCCCGCTAAGCCCTGCTAAATATTACGTATACGCCGTTGAGTACTTGTCAGACAGACAGAGCGGAGGGGGGAGGGCACACACACACATAATCGTATGGGTAGCATGAGGCGTTAAAGGTCAAACACACAGTGGCAATAATTTGCCCGCTTGCCTGGCTTTTGCTTCGGCTTCATGCTTGTATGTTTTATGTTTTTTATGGTAATTCGAGTGGGCCATAAAGCAAAAGCCCAAACAATTGTTTAATGCCCGCAAAAAAGGTAAAGAGAGTGAGGCAGGCAGGCACACCAGCTCCAGGCACAGTTGGAGCCGCAGTCGGAGCTCAAGCTGCAGCCTATGGCAAAAGTTTTGCGAACCATAACGAATGACCCCCTCCCAAAATAAATAAACCCCCCACCAGCCCACCCAGAGGGAGATGTTCTCTGTGGGGCATGTAAATCGCATCAGCATCGTTAAACAATTTACCCACAGCTGGGGGGATAATGAGAAGCACACACACACACACATATCTGTGGTTGTATCTTGTATCAAATGCAATCTCCTGGGGCAAATATTCAGTCATGAAATTGGACTCAAGGCTGTGTGTTGCGGTGGGCCCTGCAGTATGCAAAGCATTTCATAAGCACAACAAAAATGTAAAAGAAACCAATTAAAAAAATACAAAAAACAACAGAAACAGAAACCAAATGCACTTTCATGTGCCCCATAAAACTGGAGCAAGTGCCGCCGTCGGTCGCCACACTGCAATTAACACAAGCCACAAAAGCACACACACACACACACACACACACACACACACACACACACACAGATACATGAAAAGGCACACAGCTAAAGAAGGTACGATGTGAGATCTTGGAGCACACAGCCTGAGGGTATACACTTTCGCGTCTACCTAGCTTAAGGAATGGCATAGAAATATTTAAAGACAAGCGATAACGTTTTCAAATACTGTAAATTAGTGTTGGTAAACGTTTGCCTGGTGCAACGATGTTTTGGTACATAAATATTTCATATGTTATTATTTCTCTTCTTTCTTAGAAAGTCTCTCAAAATGTGGCATACCCCGCCGCCGTAGCATAATAATCCCAGTGCGGAGAGAGTGAAACGGTAACGAGTGGCAGCAGGGGCACGTGCAGCGGCTGAGGAAGAGGCAGCGGCAACCTTCAAGTGCAAGCGACAAAAGCAAAATTGAAAAGGCGTCGCCGCATAGCGACCCAGCGCTCTGAGCAAGAGGTGCAATAATTAGATGCAAGCTTGCCACCATGCAACATGCATGGATGGGAAAGTTCACGCTCACTTTCTACTAGCCCTTTTCGATCACTGGCAACTGGCAACTGACATCTAAGCACAGGCAACATAACAACATAGGAGCCATAGATATTCCCAGATATTCGTAGATACGCCCAGAGATATTCTTAGTCTCAGTATTGCTTCCAAAATTCAACTGATCGGAACTTCAGACAAAAAAAATTCCCCAATATTAGCCTGAAAATAAAACCAAAAGCAAAACTAAACTCACGACACACAAAATAATTTTAATTTCTAAATTACGTTTCAATTTCTGGTTTAAACTCTTTTTTTTCCTTTGACATGGCTGATGGACAGGAGTCTGGTCCTGTGGAAGCCTCCTCAGATTCCGCCTCGACGCCAGTGCGACGCGTGCAATTCAGTCCCGACACCAAGCTGGGCCCTGATGAGGATGAGACTCCGTCGGACTCTGGCAGGAGCTCTCGTGGTCAGGCTAGGGGACGTGCAAACAGACGTTCCCCATCGCTCTGTGTGTGGCAGCAGGACTTTGAGTCTCTGGTGATCACCAACGAGCTGGACAATGGGGATCAGAAGATGGTCTCGCAGAACCACGAGCAGCTGCCCTCCGTCTGCTCCCAGCTGTGGCATGCGGATGCCAAGCTCGTGGATCTTCGCTGCCTCAAGCTGGACATGCGCCGCGCCAAGGAGCAGTTGGTGTCTTTGAATGCCATGAAGAAGGAGTTGAAGACTCTGTACTTTGATGTGGAATTTCTGCAGCATAGTCTGCAGGCCCTGGAGCGTGTCGGCATTGCCACTCTGGACTCTGTGGAGGAGTGTCACCTGATTTTGCAGCCCAAGGATTTGGGCACAGGCGACGAGGGAGACTTTCCGCAGAACTGCGGCAGTGCGGTCTACGCCGAATGGCCCTTGCACTCGCTGCCCAAGCTGATGGAGAATTTGAGGCGTCTTCGCATATTCTGCAGCCTTCAGGTGCACTTTATCGAACGCTTCAAGAATCTGGAGCTGTTGGCCCTCTATGGCACCATCTCGCAGAGCGCCATGACGGGCGTTTTCCAGCGCTGCCGGCTTCTGAAGCATTTGTACATCAAGGCCGATTCCGATACGCCACTCGATCTTAGCGGCGTGGTCATGTGTCCCATCATTGAAGGCATCTCGGTGCCCGTCAGCATGTTTGCCATTCAACGCGAACTCCTCGTCGGCTGCCCCCATCAACATCTGATCGAGTTGTCCCATTGCGGCCGGAAGAGCGGCCTGACTGTCGATTGTCTGAACACAATCTTCGGACTGAAGTCCGAGGCCATTGAGGCCATTCAAATGGACTGCTCCTGGCTGGAATCGGGTGCACAAAGCCTCGCGGCCATGGCCATGGGCCGTTGCACCCACGTTCGCAGTCTCGTTCTGGGCAATTGCGACTTTTGGGACGTTGCCATTGAAGGCCTCGACTTGCCGCAGGTGCAGCGTTACATTGGCCTGGACCGTTGCCACAATGTGACCAACGAACAGGTGCTCGATATGGTTCGTCAATGTCCGCAGCTGCGAGAGTTCTATGTGGTTCAGGGTGCCCTGCTGACAGGTGAACTGCTGCATGGCATCTATCGCATGCGGATCGAAAATGATCCGGGCTACCCATTGACCTTCATACTGAGACACTGCACGAAACTCGTTGAGAGTTACAACACAATGGTGAGTGTGCCGCAAAGAGTCCATGGAGCACTTTTACAGATTCTTCTTGCAGTTCTCGGAGTATTGGGCCGGAAAGCAAGACATTGTCCGTGTTAAGCATGCTGAGGACGATATCAAGCCCATTGCCGATGTTCAATTATTCTTTCATGGCTACGTTCAGGTCGTCACTTCCTTGGAGGAGAACATGGAGATGTCGCAATATGATACAAGCGATGCCTGATCCAGAGTTTACACAGCGAATTTCGAGTTTAAGTAAACGAAATGCCTAAATAATACAGACAATGGCAGGCGACTGTCTTTCTTTTTTCTGTTTTCCATGATTTCT